TGAATTCGGCGCCACACCGTGCGGCGAGGGCGCTGGCGGCCGCCTCGGCCTCGGGGCCGAAGCGGCCGCCTCCTCCTCCTCCTGCTCCTCCTCCTCCTACCCTTGCTCCTCCTCCTCTCATCATCCATCTGTTCTCCTTCTAACTCCTCCCTGTCGCGCCCCGAAGCCGGTCGAAAGGGTGGGCCCGGCGTTTCGCCAGAGACTTCCTCAACATGTATGACAACATTGCAAGGGTTTCGTGGATGGAAAATCAAATAGTTTTCAACATGTGGTTCTCGCTCTGGCGCCGCGCACATTCGTCTGAAACGTTTGCAAGATCTGCACGGACGGGGGATGGTCCGTTTTCAAAATGTGGTCTCGCTTCAGCGCCGCGCACATTCGTCTTGGATAATTGCAGGAGCTTCTATAGGGCGCAGCCTTTTCAAAATGTGGCTCTCGCTTTAGCGCCGCGCACGTTCGGCTTAAATTTTTGCAATGGTTTCACGGATGGAGGGCGTTTCCTGGTCAAAACGTGGCTATCACCTTAGCGCCGCGCACATTCGAGTTCAAACTTGCAAGAGCTTCACGGATGGGGGCAGCTCGTTTTCGAAATGTGGCTCTCGCCTTAGCACCGCGCGCGTTCGTCTGAAGAGTTTGCAGCAGTTTCGAGGATTCTCATGGTTAACGTCCTAGAACTGATATTTGGCACGATGTCGGATGTCAAGGCGCAGCAATGACGTTGAACCGCGGTGTTGAAATTCCAGGAATGGTGTTCTTGTAAGATTCTGGACCGTCAAAGTTCAACAACAACAACAACGGTGATTCGAGGCGTTGATGTCCCAAGAACGGTGTTCTGGCATACTTCCAGATTTTCAAGCGGTTGTCTTCCAACGGGGCACTTCCCTCAGGGACAATGATCCCCTGTATGGGGCCTGTGAAGAGGGAGCTTGGCTGGAGGGTGTATTGCAATATCGCTGATGAGTGTTTGGTTTTCAATGGTTTTCCACCAAGTCCTCCTCCTCCTCCTCCTACTCCTCCTCCGCCTCCTCCTTCTCGACGACGACGACAACGACGTCGACCCGCCGGTCGGGGCGCGCGCCCGCCTCGATGCACTGGTCCGTGGCTGCCCTGAGCGCCTCCTTGTCGCCCTGCGCTGGCAGGGGGGTGGGAGTGTGGGCAATCAGGAAGGAGGGTCAGGTCGTCATGTCCCCCTTACAGGCGGATTTTGAACTAAAATTTAAAACATCAGAATTACTCAAATCGAATAAAGCAATACTCAAAAAGTCATCCCCAGACTAATTTTTTGACAATTTCTGGATCTGCCTCCTGTAGAGGGACAGGCCCGACTTAAAAGGAGGGGGGAGGACGGAGCGGAGTGGAGTGGACGCCCTGACGAGGTCATATCAAGACACTGCCCGCCCCTTGCGCCGCGGACGCCACATGTAAGCGCTACCTCTGGGGCACGAGATGTGTGAGGGGTGAACCGGAGTGGGCCGACCGCATCCATGGAAGGACCCTGTGGCTCAGGGTGCAGTCCTTAGAAAGGCAATCCTCTCTACCGCAGTTGTCCAGCGAAAGCGACGACGACTATGACGATAACCACCATGACGACGTCGACGTCGACGTCGAAAACGACGGCGACGACCGCTCCCCAAACTAGGGCACCTCTGGAGGCCATCACGAGGCCCCAGAGCGTCCAGAAATCTCGATCCTGGAACCCTTCGAGCGTCGCGCATCGATCCTCGACGATCGAAATCCGTTCAGACTCGGCTCCCTCGCCCCTCCCTGGCATATCCTGTGTGCTTCTTTTAACCCCCTGCGCATCGACTTCTGGCGGCCCTGGGGCCCGAGGCAGGCCTCCCCCGACGCCGAGCAGCCATGCCTCGACCGCGGCCACGGCGGCCTCCGGCGATCCGACGGCCCTCCGCGGCGGGGAGGGCCTGCCAGGCCTTCAGGCAGCGCTCCTCCGGATACTTTAGGAACTTCTGCGGCCTGCCGTCCTCGGTGTAGCCCTGTGGCGGGCCGCCGCAGCGAGGATGATGATGATGATGATGATGATGATGATGATGATGATGATGATGATGATGATGACGATGATGATGATGATGATGAGGAGGAGGACGAGGAGGAGGAGGGAGGAGGAGGAGGAGGGAGGGGGGAGGAGGGAGGAGGGCCGTCGTCGCCTCGGCACCGACGGCGGCGGGCCCCGTCGACGCCTCTCTCTGCGCCCGTGGCCCCGCCTGGGGGGCACGAAGCGCCCGCCGCCTCCCTCCCCCGCCTGCGCTCTCCCTCGCGGCCCGGCGCGCCTCCCAGGCGTTGCACTCGATCTTCTCGGGCTCCAAACGTCCCTGCGCCTTCCCACAGGCGTCCGGCTTCGTCGTCGTCGTCGTCGTCGTCGCAGCCACCGCCGCCGCCGCCGCCGCCGCCGTCGTCGTCGTCGTCGTCGTCGTCGTCGTCGTCGTCGTCGTCGTCGTCGTCGTCGTCGTCGTCGTCGCGTCCCTCGTTTCCCACCTTCCTCCTCTACTTCTCCTCCCCTCCTCCATCCCTTCTCCTTATAATTCCGCCGACCCTGTCGGCGTGTGGAAGACGTTCTTCCGTTGGTCGCCGTCGTCGCCGTCGTCGTCGTGTCGTGTCTCCGTTCATCGTCGTCTCCGTCGTCCTCTGTCTCCTTTCCCTGGGCCCTCGTCGTCGTGTCGTCTCCGTCGTCTCCTCGTCGTCTCCGTCGTCTTCTGCGTCTCCGTCGTCTCCTCGTCGTCTCCGTCAATCGTCGTCTCCATCATCCCCCGTCTCCTTTCCCTGGGCCCTCCTCCTGAAGCGCGCCATCCAGACCGACGTTGAGTAACGTCGTAGCTGACTCGAAGGGAAGCCCCTTCCGTTTGGTTCCCTCCCCAGTGTGGGGGGGTGGGTGGGGCCCGGAGAGTGTCATGGGGGGGGGGTCCCAGAGGGGGAGGTCGCCCCCCAGATTCGCATCCCCAACGGGCGGTTCCAGGGCATAGAGTGCCCCAGGAGGATCCCAAGACGGTTCTTGAGGGCCCTGAGTCGCCGAATTATCGGTCCAAGGCGCCAGAGTAGCCTCCAGACGGTTCAGGAGGTTTTCAAAACGCCCCAAGAGGCCTCCAAGAGCACTCCCAAGAGCGCCCCCAGGGGCAACGATCACAGATTTTCCTTTAGTTTTGAAAGATTTTGGCGTTAGGCCCTCAGATGCCCCCAAGCAGCCCCCCACGAGGCTTCAAGAGGCCCCCAAGAGACCCCCAGCCCAGGCAGCCCCAAGAGACCCCCACGAGGCCCCCAAGAGGCCCCCAAGAGCTTCCCAAGAGCCTCCCAAGAGGCCCCAAAACTACCCCCAACTGGCCTCCGAGAGCGCTCGTCGTCGTCGTCGTCGTCGCCGCCGCCGCCGCCGTCGTCGTCGTCGTCGTCGTCGTCGTCGTCGTCGTCGTCGTCGTCGTCGTCGTCATCTTCGCCGCCGCCGCCGCCGTCGTCGTCGTCGTCGTCGTCGTCGTCGTCGTCGTCGTCGTCGTTCAGGGTCGGCGGCTCCGGGCGCAAGGCCTCTCTAATATCTCCTCCCTGTCGCACCCCCAGACGTGTCGGTAGGGTGGGCTGGGCGTTTCGCAGGAGAGTTCCTCACCATTAATGATCCTGAAGCTCAGAATTTGCAACGGTTGCACGGATGAACAGCGGGTGGTTTTCAAGATGTGGCTCTAGCCCTCGCGCTGCGCGTATTCGTCTTGAACGCTTCCGACAGTTTTGAAGATGGAGCGCGGGCCATTGAAAGATATGGTTTTTGTCTGAGCACCGCGCGCATTCGTCTTAAACAATTGCAAGAGTTCCACGGATGGAAGGCGACTCATTTTTAAGATGTGGCTATCGCCTAAGCGACGCGCGCAATCGTCCTAAAAGTTTGCAGCTGTTTTAAACATGGAGGGGAAGCCATTTTGAGAATGTGGCTCTCGCCTTAGCACCGCGCGCGCTCGTCTTAAACATTTGAAAAAAGTTTCACGGATGGAGGGCGGCTCATTGTCAAAATGTGGCTCTCGCCTCAGCGCCGTGCACAAGCGTCGCACACAACTTACAGCAGTTTCAAGGGTTCGTATGGCTGACGAACTAGACATTGTGTTTTGGCACGATGTAGGATTGTCAGGGCGTATTCGTCACATTGATTCGCGGTGTTGGAATCCCAGAAATGGTGTTCTGGCACGATTCAGGTTGTCTTCTCACGGGGCACCTCGTGCAGTGAAAATATTTTTTCCAGGGATCTCTGAATAAGAAAATTTGAGGGAAGGTTAACTGCAACATCGTTGATGAATCTTGAGTTTGCACTGGTCCTGCTCTTTCGCCTCCTTCACCTCCTGCCTCTTCATCCTTGTCCGTCTCCGTCTGCCCCTCCTCGTCCTCGTCCTCCTCCTTTTCCTCCTCCTCCTCCCCCCTCCTTCTCTTCCTCCTCGCACTCCTCTGCCACAAATATTCAATACGAATACTTCTCTCTTCTCTTCCCCGATACCGTGTATTTTCCCCGCATCTCCCGTAACTGGACTTCCACACACGCAGGATCGCCCAACGGAGACATTCGATCTGTTTTCCAATCAAAACACTTCCGGCCTTTCAAAGGGGGCTCTGGCTGTAGTGGTAGCCACGTCTAGCGAAATTAAGCAGCATCCGTCAAATAGAACGACGCTCTCGCCGCGGCGCTGGCCGTATTTTGCATCAGCAGAAGTGGCGCTCCCGCAGAAACGTTTGCCACGTTTCAAGATGTCCATGTAGCTCCCGTCCAATGGAAGAGCGTTCTTGCCACAATCCTGGCCGTACTCTTGCATAAAAATAGCACCCGCCGCAAACAAAATGCCACTCGTAACACTTTCCGTAGAGCCTCCGCCCCGCGGAACCATTCTCCAGCCGCCGCGCTGGCCGTGCCACTGCCATACCAAAAGAAGTCTTCCCACCTTAGCGGTTGCAGCGTTTCAGGACAACGCGGCCCTTTCGGAAGTCGACCCTGCGGACGAGACGGGACTCAGCTCCATGGTGAGCAGCGAGGAGGGATGGGATGCCAGATATAGCGCAAGCGCGCCAAGATTGCCCCCTCCATCCCCTCCTTCTCCCCCTCTCCCTCTCTCTCCCCCTCTCCCTCTCTCTCCCCCTCTCCCCCTGCTGCCCTCCTTTTTTTTTTTTTTTTTTCTTTCTTTCTTTCTCTCTCTCTCTCTATATATATATATATCACACTCTGTCTCTCTCTCTCTCTCTTTTTGTCTCTCTCTCTCTCTCTCTCCCTCTCTCTTTCTCTCCTTTATCGCACCAAGATTGCTCTCTCCCTCTCTCTCCCCCTCCCCTTATTCTGGTTCTTCCTCCTCCTGCTGCCGCTGCTCCTGGTCTCACCTGCCATTGCTCCTCCTGCTCCTGCTCCTCAACCTCCTTCTCCTCCTCCTTCCCCCGCGCGGGCGGGGGCGCACGTGCGGGGGAGAGCGGGAGGCGCACGTGCGGGGGAGAGCAAGATGAAGGGAGAGATGAGGATGATGATGCCGATAAGGGGTGATGATGATGATGATGCTGATATTGTTGGTGATGATGACGATGGTGATGATGTTGATGAAAATGCTGCTGATGGGGTTGTTGATGGTGGTGGTGATGTTGATACTGATGATGATGCTGATGATGTTGATGCTGTTGATGATGATGATGGTGGTGGTGGCGACGACGGCGATGACGATGCTGATGATGCTGCTGCCGATGATGATGACGACGATGATGATGCTGATGCTGATGCTGATGGTACTGCGGATGCTGATGATGATGATTCGTACTATGATGATGACGGTGATGCTGATGATGATGATTAGGATGATGATGATGATGACGATGATGATGATGCTGATGATGACGGCCATCAGTATCCTGATGCTGATGCTGATGATGATTATGATGCTTCTGCTGCTGCTGCTGATGATGTTGTTGACGATGCAGACGGTGGTGGTGGCGACGACGACGACGGTGACGATGCTGCTGCTGCTGCTGATGAGGATGACGACGACGATGCCGATGATGATGATGCTGATGCTGCTGCTGATGTTGACGACAAGGATGCTGATGATGATGGTGATGATGATGTTGATGCTGATGATCCCGCTCTCCCAGGGGGGCCGCTGCCGACGTGCACACTCCCCCCGCTGCTGCTACATTAGCCCCTGCTCCCCGCTCGCTCCCTCGAGCGCGACCTCTCGCGCGGCGGGAGGGGGGGCGGGGCGCCGAGGTCGGCCTCCACCCCCCCTTTGGTGGGGTGGAGGCCGCGCTTCATTCTGCGGAGCCCTTCGGCCTGCCTGCTCGAGAGCGGCCGAAGCGGGCGCTCGTCGCCGAGTGCCATGACCCGACGACTGCGGCAAAACCCGCCGCACACCACGCAAAAGGCGAGGTCCCTCGCCCGCCACATCTTGTGCGACGGGTGGAACCTCGCGTTCCACCAGGGGGGCCACGTTTCGCCGAGACCAGGTCCAGGCCCAGGAGGTCCCCGCGACCCGCCCGATCCCGCCCCCTGTGGCCCCCCTGGTGGCAGAACCCCCTCGCTGGGAGGGTTCTCGACCGAACTACCCTGAGCTGGAGACTGCTGCTCCTGCTGCTGCTGCTGCTGCTCCTCGTCCCCTCCTCCGCTGGCCTCCCCCCCGCTCGCTGCGGCGGCTCCTGCCACGATGCCGAGGGGCACGGCCGCGCCTGCGCCTGAGCCCTCGGTTCCCGAGGCGGGCGGGGGCGGTGGCGGCGGGGGCGGGTGGGAAAAAGCGGGGAGAGGACGGCCGCTCGCCGCGCATCCGAGGCAGCACCAGATGCGCCTCGACCCGACGAGAGCCGACGAACCGTGCCTCTCGCACGCGCGGGCTGAGCAGCGGCCGCACGGTGCGATCGCGCGCAGGCGGCAACCGGGAGCAGCACATCTAATTAGCTGAAGGCCAGGCGCCGCGTAGCCGTCACTCGCCGTGAGCCAGCTGCTGCCCTCCTGCAGCGCCAGGCCGAGCATCCTGCCCAGGCTCTCGCCCCACTCGTCGGCGATTCTCGCAGCCTCGACCAGCGCGGGGAACGTGGGGTGGATGCTGGCGCCCTGCTTGGCCCTCAAGTCGGCGAGCTTGTTGCCCCGCCGCTTCCACTCCGTGGAGGACCCGACCAGGACGTCGTACATCGTGGCGTGCCCCTTCACCTTGGTGATCTGAATGTCGTCCCTGCCGATGTCGTGGACCCTCTGCCAGAAGACGGCCCACAGGGCCCTGTAGGGCCTAGACCAGCACAGGCACCAATCCTCGCCTGCCTCCCAGCCGTCCACGAGCAGCTGCGAGTCGCTGAAGAGGTGCACGGGCGGGAGGCAGTGGGCCAGGGCCTCCACTGCTGCCAGCAACTCCCCCGAGCCCGACTCCTGGGCTAGCGGCCGTGGCACTGGCCCCAGGATCGACGAGACCTCGGCGCCCGTGTGGTCCGTCGAGCAAGCTGCCCAGCCCGCTCGAGCCAGAACTCGGTCCTGGACGTGGAACGCCGAGCCGTCCAGGAAGACCTCGCCATGGAGTGGCTCGCCTGCCCTCGGCCCCGTCGTGCGCACGATGCGCGCCGTGAGCGGCAGGGGGAGGTCGCTGCGCGGGTCCTGGGCCAGGCGCCGCGACCAGATGGCGTGCTCCGCGTCCGAGTCCAGCGGGCCGCCCGTGTCGTAGAAGTAGCGGATGTTGAGGTCGTCCAACTTCCACTGCCTGCGGGGGCCGTCCAGCGTGGGACAGGCCCATACCAAGTGCCTGACTGTCCCCCTCTCCTCGCATCCAGCTGGGCAGCGCCCCGAGCTCGCGAGCGGGGGGTCTGCCAAGGCTCGGCGCTGGGCGGGCCAGAGGCAGCCCACGATGGCGTTCCTGGCCGAGGACCACCGCGAAGCGAGGGCGTGGTCGGCGTACTGCCTCGCCAGCCGCTTCCTCAGGCTGTTGATGGCCGCGACGCCCTTCCGGTGGCCCAGCAGCGGGTCGTGGCTCGCCGCGTCCCTCCAGAGCTTCCTGATGAAGGCGGCCTGGACCTCGCGGTGGATCATGTGCCTGTCGATCTCGCCCAGGTCGAGGATCCTCCCAAGGTCGTCCGTCCAGCGCCTGATGTGGTCGGCCCTCCAGCCGAGGCGCGCCGCGGCAAGGGCCGCTGCGGAGGCTGGGCCCCTTCCCGCCAGGCTCTCTGGCCCGATGGCGGCGAGGCGCTCCCGCGCCGCCGCAAAGGCCGAGCCGAGGGCGCGCCTGTCCTGCTCCTTGACCAGCTGCAGCGCCCTCGCCCACGCCTCCATGGGCTTGGCGATGTGGTCGAAGAGCGGGCCGTCCCACGGCTTCGCGGCCAGCAGGTAGCTGAGGCTGATGCTCCTGCCAGGCCCCGTGCCGAAGGCGATGGCGGCGAGCTTGGACCTCCATCTCGCCAGCGCCGAAGACGACCAGGCCTTGCAAGAGATACCGTATGCTGTAGCGGGCTTGAGTCCAGCATTGACGAGCTTGACTGCCGCTTCCTTCCTTACTCGTCGTATCTGGTGGACACGGCCGAGCTGGGCTGCGGCGGCTTGGCGTCGGCCTGCAGCCACCTCCCCAGCTCTGGCGCCCATGGCGTAGTCCACTCCCAAGTTCCTGGCCTCCTTGGCGTGCGCGAAGGAGCCCTCGTCCATGTAGTACTCGATGAGGCGGCGCAGCTTCTCGGTGGTCCCCAAGATCTCGCTCTTGTCCCTGGAGACGACCGCGCCTATGTCCCGCTCCAGGCCTCTGATGACGGCGCCCGCCGCCTTGCCGAGCAGGATGCCCACCTGCGCCTCCGAGCCAGTCTGGCGCAGGGAGCAGTCGTCGAACATGATGGCCAGGGAGACCTCCTTGTACATGCGGCGGTGCTCTGAGTCGATGACCATCATGCAGCACCGGAGAAGCTTCCCTGCGTGGCCGCGTCCAGCCACCAAGCCCGTGGCCAGGAAGAAGGCCTCGGAGACCACGCCGTCGATGACGATCCTCCGCGGGCCTTCGTAGACGCTGAGGGCGGCCGCGGTGAGCGCGAGCGGGTACCCCTCGGCCTCGGCGCGCTGCTGGGCCACGGCGAAGGAGACCACCTCGTACGCCTTCCAGAGGTCTAGAAGCACTCCTCCCGCACAGGCGCCTCTGCCGTCGGCCGCCTCGTTGTGCAGTGCCTGCCACCACACCGCCTCCTCTGAGGCCTTGCCTTGGCCGCCCCAGAAGTTGGCCTTGTCTGCTGGGGCGAGCTGTGCCTCCCAGGCGCGACTCTCTCGCTGCCTGATCCTGGCCCACCACCGCGGGAGCCAAGCGAGGAGGCCGATGGGCCTGAATCCTCCTTTGGGCTTCAGCAACATGACGAGGTGCACCAGCCTGGCAGCCGTGGGGAAGCCGCCGATGCGCTCGCACGTCATGCACAAGTCGATGAGGCATTCCACGCACTCGTCGCTGAGCGCTGCGATGAGCCTCGGGTTGAACTGGTCGGCGCCAACTCCAGTCCTCCAGGCGAACTGCTTGGCCGCGTGCCTCGCCCTCTGGATGCTGGGCCTCTCCAGCATGGGCCCCACCTGAGGCCGCAGGGTGGGCGCCTCTGGGTGGGCCTCGTCCTTGAGCGTCCAGACCTCCGTGGACCAGAACTTGGCAACAGCGTTGACCCTGTCCTGTCCTCCAACTGGTGCTCCTTCAACAATCTCGTCGGGCAGCCAGCCTTGTGGTCCTCTCCTGTATGTTGATGCTGATGATGCTGATGATGATGATGATGATGATGATGCCGACTAGTACTGATGATGGTGATGATTATGATGCTGATGATGATGAGGATGATCACCATTATCCTGATGCTGATGCTGCTGCTGATGCTGACGCTGCTGATGATGATTATGATGATGCTGATGCTGCCGATGATGCTGCTGTTGATGATGATGCCGAGGAGGAGGAGAATGAGGAGTAGGAGGCGGAGGGGAAGGAGGAGAAGGAGGAGGAACATGAGGATGGGGGGTTACGATGGTTATAGTGGTGGTGATGCGGTTATTGTTGGTGATGATGTTGATCACAAGGACGATGATGATGCCGATGATGCTGCTGCTGCTGATGATGATGATGAGGAGGAGGAGGAGCAGTAGAAACATCAGGATGGTGATGGTGGTGGCGGCGACGACTACGATGACGATGACGATGATGACGCTGCTGCTGATGATGCTGATGACGATGCGGAAGAGAGCGCGGAGGAGCGATGGGGGGAGGATAAAGAGGAGTGGGGAGATGACCCAACGTTGCGATAAGTAGGAGGGCTCCCCCGCTGGAGGGTCAGGGGGGGACAGAAGAGTGGATCGGGCTGACCCGCTCCCCGTAATCATCGGCGGGATCTGGAGTCGACTGGCTCCGCGGAGTACCACGGTGACGAGAGCTTGGGCCGTCCGCTCGGACCATGGGTAAGCTCCAAGCCGCGGGCCCGCATGCAGCCTGGCAGAATGAGCGGAATCGCGAACCTGGTCCCAGGAGCAGCAGGAGGGGGGCGCTCCGAAGTGAAGGGAGGACACACGAGAGGAGGGGGCGGGACAACCGCGGCCTTGTGTTAGGACCCCCGCTACCCCACAGCTTCAGTTAAGGGTCTTCGTTCCACGCACGCTGGATGGCTGGGTGGCGCCTGCAGTGCACACGGATCCGCCCCTTGCATGAACGGACAGCGGCATTGGCGAAGCGGGGTGCTGAGAGCAGCATCGTGCCCGCGCCACATGCTCGTGCGACACCTCGGGGCCTGCGTTTCAGCCTGCCCTCCGAGGTAGTGCCACCGCGGAACTTCGTCATTGGACATGCGCCCTTTATGTACACAGCTGACTCCATTTCACTTCGTCCATGCAAATCAGATTGGTCCGACTGCAACGCGTGATTAGGAACCAAGGCAAACTTAGTCCGATGAGGGCCCTGTCGGTCACACTCTAACGCGCCCATGCCATCAAATTATGATCCTACGCTTGCGGCGCCCTGAATTGGATATTACAAGTGCGAGTAGGGGAAACAACTTAATAACGAACAACTGGAACGCACACTCTAAATAGGTACGGACAAAAATGGATACGATACCCAACAAGAACTATTGTCCAGAACCGAAATCGGCCGCTGTTGGACACGCGTGTCTTTGTCTCGAATGGACAACGTTCGTGGCGATACCGACAGCCGATAGCGAGTCTTGCTCAAGAGGGACAGGCACGTTCGTCGGTCTTCGTCACCTTGTTTTCCGTTCCGATCTCGATCCCCCAGAGAGGAGGACGAGGAGGAGGAGGAGGAGGAGGAGGAGAAGGAGGAGGAGGAGGAGGAGAGACGAGGAGGAGGGGAGGAGGAGGAGGAGGAGGAGGAGAGGAGGAGGAGGAGGAGGAGGGGAGGAGGAGAGGAGGAGGAGGAGGAGGGAGGAGGAGGAGGAGGAGGAGGAGGAGGATGAGGCGGAGGGAGGAGGAGGCAGGAGGAGGAGGAGGAGGAGGAGGAGGAGGAGGAGGAGGAGGACGAGGGAGCAGGAGGAGGAGCAGGAGGAGCTGGCGCCGGACCAGGAGTAGACGTCGCTCAGGCCGTGCCGCCCTCCCCCGCCTCCTGCTCGTCACCTAGCCAGCCGCGCGAGCGCCAGCTTTGCTCCGCGCGCTGCCGCGCCTGCTGCCACGTCCTCTGCTGCTGGCGGCCGCTCCGGGAGGCCGTGTGCTGCTTCTTCCAGCCGCGGCCCGCGGCCGTCGGGTCGAAGGCCTCGGCGGCGCCCTTCTGCGCGTCGTCGCCGTCGTCGCGGGCGGCGGCTGCGGCCGTCCGGCCCGAGGGCCTGGCGCCCTGCTTGCTGGGGCCCCCCGCGGGGGGACCGTGGCAGCCCGCCGCGGGCACGAGCGCGGCGGGGCCTCGCGGGCCGTCGAGCAGCGCCTGTGCGAAGGTCCGCCTCGGGCCCTCGGCGCCCTCGGGCTCGGGGGGCGCGCCCGACGTCATGAGCCACGCGGCAGAGCCGTCCGCCGGCCAGGGCGAGCCGCCCTCGGGCCCTGGCGCGACGACAAGGCGCGCGTCCAGCTCCTTGAGGAGCAACGGTAGGGGGGAGACTGGCTCAGGGGTGGACGCATCGACCTGGAATCGGCGATGCATCGCCGATGGATCGATATTGAAACTGCACGGTCCAGAACGAGGGTGGGCCATCGCGCCCCACCCCTGCGCGCTTTCCCCCCTTGGCGTTGCCCTGGACTCCTCCACCCAAGAGCCGTCCTCCTCGTCGCTCACCTCGCTGCAGAAGTCCCAGTCGCGCTCGGCAGCCTGCCGACGCCCCGCCTCGCGCACCGAAGGCCACCCGGCGCCCTCGAGGTCCGCGGCGGCCGCCGGCAGCGCCAGCGGCGCCACGTGCTGCGAGGTGTCCGTGCAGGCCGTGCTGGCGGGGCTCCAGCTCAATGCCGTCAGTGCCTCGGCGGGGCACTGCGCGGCAGGGCCAGCCTGCCGCAGGGGCGCGTCGCAGACGCCGTCCGCGAGCACGTCGCGGGCCTCCTGCAGCAGCAACCTGTCGCGCGTGCTCCCCTCCGCGCCGAGCTGGTGGCGCTGGCCGCCGCGGCGGCGGGGCGCCGCGGCTGCGCGACGTGCCGAGGTGGCGGCGGGCGCAGAGGCGGGCATCGCTGTCGCGGCGGGACCGAGCGGGGCGGGCGGCAGGCCTGCGGGTGGGCGGGGGGCGGCCAGGTTGCTTGGAGGCTCAGAAGTGGCGGGGCCAAAAAATGGCTGCGGGGGTGGGGGGGGGGAGGTGGGAGGAGGAGGTGGAGCGGGGAGGGCGGGGGGGCGGAGGGGGTGGAGGCATGCGGGGTCATCTCTGGGGTGCTTGCTCTGCGATACAACTCTCCCCCCCGCCATCGGGCCCACACTTGTGGATCTGAAGGGTGAGCGGTTTCAAGAGAGCCTGCATATGGGTCCAAGAGGCTTTCAAGAGGCTCCTTGAGGTCCCCGAGCTGGTAATTATTGGGGGCTGCTTGGGATGGAACTTTCTTTGGTTTGACCTGTGCCCCCCACTCTTTCTAGTGTCACGAACAAGCACTTTGATTCTCAAGGCAATTTCGCCTGGGAATCGCAAATGTACGGCTGGTTGGGATACGCGAAACCGCGAAGAGTCAACACTTGTGAGGAAGCATCAGGCGAAAGCCCAGCCCGCCCTATTGACACGTCTGATGGTGCGACGCGCAGGACTTGTTCTAGGAGAAGAAATGCCAGAGAGCTCTGGAAAAGAGAGAAACTTCGGGAGGAGGAACCTTTTAGTTTGTTATTTGGTGAGCTGTTTTTGCTTGTGTTGGTTTGTTTTGTGTCGGCTTCTTTCCTTGTTTCCAACCATGTTGGGTCCTCGTTTTGAGAAGACAGCGCCCCGCCTCACTCCTCTCCTCCTCCTCCTCCTGCTCCTCTCCTCCTGCTGCTCCTCCTCCTCCTCCTCCCGCTCCTCTCTCCCTCCCTCCTGCCATCATGATCACGATTGTCATGATGATGATGATCATCATCAACATCATCATCATCCTCATTAGCGCCAGCATCATCATAACCATCATCATCATAACCACCATCATCATTATCGTTGCCATCATCATCACCATCATCATCATCATCATCACCATCAGCATCACCATCACCGTCACCATCACCATCACCATCACCATCACCATCACCATCACCATCACCATCATCACCATCATCATCATCAACATCACCACCACCACCATCATCATCATCATCATGATCATCATCATGATCATCATCATGATCATCATCATGATCATCATCATGATCATCATCATGATCATCATGATCATGATCATGATCATCATCACCATCATCATCATCATCATCATCATCATCATCATCATCATCATCATCATCATCATCATCATCAGCATCGTCACCGCCGTCATCGTCACAATCATCGCCATCAGCTTTGGCACATCCCTCACACGTTTCGTGGCCCCATAGGGAGCTCTAATTAAGGCCCGAATGCCCAGGTCCGCATGGCGTCGGTGCCTCATTTCGGTACGCCCCTCACACGTTCGGGGCCCCATGCGGACCTCCAACCAAAGCGTAAATGCCAGGGTCCGCACGGCGTCGGTGGCCTCATTTCGGTACACCCCTCATGCGTCTTGTGGCCTCAAAAGGAGCTCCAACTAAGGCCCAAATGCTAAGGTCCGCATGGCGTCGGTGCCTCATTTCGGGACACCCCTCACACGTTTCGTGGTCCCATAGGGAGCTCTAATTGAGGCCCAAATGCCCGGGTCCGCACGGCGTCGGTGCCTCATTTCGGCTTATCCCTTATACATTTCAGGGCCTCATTGAGAGTTCCAACTAAGCCCCAGATGCCAAGGTCCGCATGGCGTCGCCACTTCGTTTTGACACACCCCTCACACACAAGGAGCTCCAGCTAGGGCCCAAATATCCGGGTCCGCATGACGTCGGTGCCTCATTTCCGCACGCCACTCGCACGTTTCGTGGCCCCATAGGGAGCCCCAGCTAAGGCCCAACTGCCACGGTCCGCATGGCGTCGGTGCCTCATTGCGACACGTCCCTCACACGTTTCGTGGCCTCGTGGGGGATTCCAAACAAGAAGGCCCAGATGCCAATGTCCGCATGGTGTCGGCGCCCCATTTCGGCACACGTCTCACGCGTTTCGTGGCCCCACAAGCGATAGGGAGCTCCACCAACGGAGCCAATGCCGGCGCCCGCATGGCGGCACCTCGCCATTTCGGCACACCCCTCACACGCTTTTTGGCCCCGTATGGGCTTCCCCTTCCTTCGTCCCACCTGCCTTGCGGTACTCACGCCTGCGTGTGGTTGCGTCCGTCGCCAGGATATATGTGTTAGTTGGTTAGCTGGTTGTGTTTGTTTGAAAGGGAGAGAGAGAGAGAGAGAGAGAAAGCGAGAGAGAGAGACAGAGAGAGAGCAAGAGAGAGACACTGAGATGTTGCTGTGTTGCTTTTAGGTGATTGTGAAATGTGACAGTCTGGTGACAAATGCTTCTATAAGCAATCATCATCTATATATATATATGTTTTCTTGTATGATACCGGAGAGAAGCCCCAATTCAAATCTTCTTAGGGCTATAGGGCTAAGAGCTATAGGGCTATAAGGCTATGGGGTTATAGGGCTATAGGGCAATAGGACTACAGGACTATAGGGCTATCGGGCTATTGGGCTAATTATTGGGCAATAGAGCTATAGGGCTATTCGGGCTATAGGGCTATTTGGGCTATAGGGCTATAGGGCTATAGAGCTATAGGGCTATAGGGCTATAGAGCTATGAAACTACAACGCTGTAAGGCTATAAAGCCATAGAGCTACCTAGCACCTGTGCACCTGGGCACCTGTGCACCTGGGCACCCGGGCACCGGGGCACCCGGGCACCTGGGAACCTGGGCACCCGGGCACCCGGGCACCCGGGCACCCGGGCACCCAAGCACTTGGGCACCCGGGCACCCGGGCACCCGGGCACCGGGGCACCCGGGGACCCGGGCACCCGGGCACCCAAGCACACCGGGGCACCCGGGCACTCGGGCACCTGCTGGGCACCCAGGCACCGGGGCACCCGGGCGTGCCGCCGAAATCAGCGCCATACCTCGCCTACCCATATGAATCCGCTATAGCCCTATAGCCCAAAAGCTTTATAGCCTTATAGTCCTAACGCCCTCTAGCCCTAATAGGTCTATAGCTCTAGAGCCCTATAGCCTTATAGCTCTATAGTCTTATAGCCATATATCCGCAGAGCCTTACAGCCCTATAGCACCACAACTTTATAGCCCTAAAGAGATTATGAATGGAATTTCTCTCGAGTGCATAGAGCAAGTCTGTATGGTATTTGTGTATATATACATTTACATACACGTGTTTGTGTATGTATCTGTGCCGAAATAGAAACACGTTCCTCCGACGTGGTATGGTGTTGGGTCGTCGTTTTGAAAAGACAGCGGCCCGACTTCCTTGCTCCTTCCTTCGTTCCTTCTTTCCTTCCTCCTCCTCCTCCTCCTGCTTTTCCTCCTCCTCCTCCTCCCTCTTCCCTGCGTTTCTCCAACACGATACAGCGTTTCGTGGCCCCATAGGAAGCTCCATCGAAGGTCCCGGTGCCAGATCTCGCATGCGGTTCCTGCGCCCACTGCGGTGTTTCGTAACCTAAAGAGCTCCCCCGAATGCCTCAGTGGCGGAGCTCGCATGCGGTTCCTGCGCCCACCAGCGTTTCGTGTAGCCCAATTGGAGCTCGACCGACTGTCCCAGTGGCGGAATTCGCATACGGTTCCTGCGCCATGTGCGACGTTTCGTGGCCCCAGAGGGAACTCCACCGAATGTCCCAGTGGCAGATCTCGCATGCGGTTCTTGCGCCCAATACAGCGGTTCGTGGCCCCATACGGAGCTCCACGCAAGGTCCCATTGGCGGAACTCGCATGCGGTTCCCGGAGCCCACCCGAAGGTCCCAGGGGCAGATCTCGCATGTGGTTCCTGCGCCCAGAACAGCGTCTCGTGGCCCCATTGGGAGCTCCACCGATGGTCCCAGTGGCGGAACTCGCATGCGGTTCCCGCGCCCAGCGCAGCGTTTCGTGGCCCCATACGGAGCTCCACCGGAGGTCCCAGTGGCGGAACTCGCAGGCGGCTCCCGCGCCCAGTACAGCGTCTCGTGGCCCGCTTTCTGCATCCAGTAACACGTTTCGTGGCCCCCTAGGGAGCTCCACCGAAGGTCCCAGTGGCGGAACTCGCATGCGGTTCCTGTGCCCAGTGCAACGCTTCGTGGCCGTATAGGGAGCACACCTTTCACGCGCTTCGTGGCCCCATAGCCTGGGCGCGACCGGTCCGCAGCCAGACCTTCTCTCGGTCCTGCAGGCTCTCGCCCTGGGCCGTCGGCTGTCCAGCGCGCCGCTCCCTCGGCCGACGCCGCCCAGGCCTGATCCTGGACTGCGGCCGCCACGAGGTCGGGAACGGCAAGAAAGAGGACGACGACTGGTGGCTAGAGCTCTACGCGCTGCTCTCGCGCGCCACGCGCCACGAGGACCTCCTGCCCATGCGGGCGCCGCAGATCGGGTTCTTCCTGGCAGGGCCGCCGGAGGGCTTGCGGAAGCAGCTGGAGCAGTTTGGGGCGCGCGCGAAGCGGTGCTGGAGGGAGGCGACAGCCCTCGCCAAGGAGCTGGGCTCCACTGGTGTATCCGCGAGGCCTGACCATGGGAGCGGCCCGCCTCGCCTCGCCTTCTCTCGACGGTCTGATTGTTTGGCCCCGCGCCGCGGACGACCCACGCGCGTCGCTGGGACTCTCTCGGAGCGACCAGCCCGCGTCCTTGGAACTCCATGCTGCGCTCTGCCCAGCGCCTCGCTCGCCTGTCGTCGCTCTGCCCAGCAGCCACACCCTTGCCCGCAATCGGCCAACAAGCTAGCTCTCTTTGCTCCGCGCAGCGGACGACCCGCGCGCGTCGCTGGAGTGCGCGGGTGCAGAGGGAGAATAAGAAGGGAAAGACAATCTTGGACGTTCTAGCTTTTCCCGCCACCCCCATCAATCAAATCACGGACAGAGGGAGCGACGCCGAAGGCCCTATAGGGAGCTACCGAAGGCCCCAGTGGCAGCGCCCGCGTGCCGCCGCCATTCCACTTTGGCGCACCCCTCACACGGTTCGTGCCCCCATGAGGAGCTCCACCGAAGACGATATTCGCAGATGCGGCGCTCGCGGCTGCGCATCTCCAGGAACCACAGCGTGGCTTGCACGACGGTGTGAGCGGAGGAGGAGGAGGAGGAGGAGGAGGAGGAGGAGGAGGAGGAGGAGGAGGAGGAGGAGGAGGAGGAGGAGGAGGAGGAGGAGGAGGAGTAGGAGAAGCAGAACGAGGATGGGGAGGACGATGAGGATGAGGATGAGGAGATGGCGGAAGAGGAGAATAATGATGATGCTGCTGCTGATGATGATGGTGGTGATGATGATGGTGCTGATGACGATGCTGATGATGTTGATGATGGTGATGAGGAGGAGGAAGAGGAGGAGGAGGAGGAGGAGGCGGAGGAGACGGGGATGAAGAGGAGGAAGCGGAGACGTTGGCGGATGAGGATGACGATGAGGATGAGGAGGAGGCAGATAAGGAGGAACATGATGATGCTGCTGATGATGACGCTGATGATGCTGATGAGGAGATGATGATGCCGCTGCTGCTGCTGCTGATGATGATGCTGCTGCTGCTGATGATACTGATGATAAGGATGATGATGATAAAGATGATGCTGATGCTGACGATGATGATGGTGATGATGCTGATGATTATGAGGATGTTGCTGATAATGCTTGCTGATGATGCTGATTATGCTGATGATGAGGATGGGGAAGATGATGATGATGATGATGATGATGATGATGATGATGATGATGATGATGATGATGATGATGATGATGAGGAGGAGGAGGAGGAGGAGGAGGACGAAGGGGCGGGGGAGACGGGGATGAAGAGGAGGATTATGAGGAGACGTTGGAGGAGGAGGAGGAAGAGGAGAAAGGGGAACACAAGGATGATGATGCTGCTGATGATGAGGAGGAGGAAGAGGAGGAGGAGGAGGACGAGGAGGAGGAAGAGGCGGAGGAGGATGATGATGATGAGGATGACGAAGGGTAGCGAGGGAAAATGGGACCTTGAAGGTGGGTGTGTTCTGATATGATATTGAGACAACGCTGGAAGGGGGGCCCATTAGGACGGCGTCTTTCTCACCACGGTGCGACCGTGCATAGGCGGCACACTGTGTGCCAGCGGCAGGGCATCCCAGTCAGGTAGGTAGACATTTCTAGCTACATGCACCACTCCTTGCGAAACCCAGGCCTCCCCTGTTTCATGGTCCTGAACCTCTCCTCCCTCCTCTCCTTTACCCATAATCTGATGGGGAGGCGTGGATACCAGCACATTTGAGGTCACATCGAGCCAGGTGCTTGCTCGAAACCCCCACCGAGATATTGCACGCTGCTATCTGACTGTCTTTTTGAGTCCGCCTCGCTCCGAGGCTGGCCATAACTGCTGATCTGGTGCCAACTCATGTTGCGCCGTACGTTTTTCGGCCTCACAAACAGACTGGTGAGCGCGACGTGGGACGTCTTGCCGCCTTGCTTGCTGTTCGTCCGCGTCGACGTGGACTTCACGGCGCGTCTTCTCTTAGCATGACATCCTGTGACACTACGGTTCGCCTTCAGTGAGAGTCACTCTTAGTGGAAGGAGAGGTGAGGGAGGAGCCAGGATGACAGGAGTGAGGAGGGATGATTGACGGAAGATATTGGAGGAGGAGGAGGAGGAGGAGGAGGAGGGGGAGGAGCATCCAGGAGTCCAGCCCGAGCCACTGCGTCTTACGTATGTTTCCTTGCATGTGTTGATGTATCTACGTTGTTGCCACAACAGAGTATTGAAGCATAGCCACTATTAACACAAGAACAGACTGTCAACCTCCTGGACAACGCTTGACAACCCCTGGACAGAGCGGCACATCCCTCCCGCAAAAACCTCCCGACGTTTGTTCGCACTCGTAATATTTTGCGACAGTCGCAGGCCGCATGGCGTTGTCATCACCAGGCGTCAAGCGCGCCACCTATGGCGAGGCCATCTTTTGCACTCGGGCTCGGGAGCAGGAGGATGATGGAGAGGCGGAGGAGGATACGCAGGAGGAGGAAGAGGACGAGGCGAGGCAGCACGAAGGGGAGAGGAGGAGGAGGAGGAGGAGGAGGAGGGAGGAGGAGGATGAGGAGGAGGAGGAGGATGAGGAGGAGGAGGAGGAGGAGGAGGAGGAGAAGAATGTATGAACCTCGGCTGCGACGAAATCTAATAACGCCTGCTCGAGCATTGGCGCCACAAGGCCCCCAAGGCCACCGGGGTCGCCCTAGTGTGGCACAATGTTGCTGTGCTTGACGTAGAGAGGTTATGCACTTTCTGTTCTTGATCGGGGTTCGTACCCCGTCGGTCGCACTACTTCGACGGCTGCATCTAGTCATCACCAGGAGCTGCATTGCATTTCTCTGTGCGGTGTATCGCGTGGGTGGGGTCGTGCCTGCCTGGATGCTAGTCAGACCCTTCCCCCGTTAGGGTTGCGGGCGGCGTCTTTTGCTCCTTAAGCCAGTCGTTAATTGCCACCGTGCCGAGTAGAGGGATGAGGAGGAGGAGGGGGAAGGGGGGGGGGGAGGACGAGGAGGGTGAGGATGACGATGGCGATGGTGATGCTGATGATGATGCTGCTGCTGATGATGCTGATGATGAGGTCGAGGAGGTGGAGGGGGGAGAAGGAGGATGAATGTGAACGCTCCAGGGCGCACCGTCGTCCAGTCTGCCGGCGGGACGAAGTACAGGCGCATCTCGAAGTCGAAGTCAACCCACTCCTCATGAGGAAGGGGGGGGGGAAGAAGGAGTCCCCGACCTTCTCGCTTCGAGAAGCATATCACGACAGAAAAATCTTTAGGGATCAGCAGATCGGCCAGATCAGCGCCAAGTTCCGAGGGAGTTTCTCGAATGCCACTGGAGCCGCGAGCACTGACCTGACCAATCAGCCGTGGAACTGCGTCCTCAAGGCCGCAATGACTTAGGTCAATGCTCGCGTCTCCCATACATCACCTGGATGGAGTCGGCAGACCCGAATGCGGGCCAGACCTGCTTCTGAGGGTCCTCACAAGGCCCCACGAACGTCGAACATAACTCAGGACGAAAAGACGGTCCAGGTGAAGCGGTCGAGACCTCTGGTGGTCCAGTTCTGAAAATTATCCAGGCGGAGGACCCAACCATATGCAGCTGTGAATACCGCAATTGTGAGAATCTTTTTCGGTGGTGCCCACGAACCGTATGAGGGGCGTGCCGACATGTGGCGGGGTACACAACACGAAGGATAACGATTGGTCGAATTACGACACTGGGCGCGGGTGAATCTGAGCGCGAATGAGTCTAAATGTGAATGAGTCTCCGTGCGGGCGAATATATTTGCACGAATGCGATCAGGGCTACGCCTCGTGAAATTTGATATGAATGTGAATGGTTCGGGTATGCCTGTCTGTGCACTCGTGACACTGAGCGTGGCCGCCGCAGAAAGCTTCCGCGGGAACCCCGGCGGCAACGCCCGCACGCCGCGACGCCCATGTCGGCACGCCCCTCACGAGGATCGCGCCCGCTTCTTTCGCTTTTTTTCCTCCCTTTATGCCCGCGCACTCCAAAGTCCAAAGCTGTGCTGGGTAGTGGCGGACGCATGCGGGCGGTGCCAGTGGGACCTTCGGTGGAGCCCCCTATGGGGCCACGAAGCCCTGTTCTGGGTGAAACGAAAGGAAAGATGGCTGTACTGGGTGGTGGCGGACGCATGCGGGCGGTGCCACTGGGACTTTCCGTGGAGCTCCTTATGGGGCCACCAAGCGCAGTACTGGGTGGGTGAAACGCAGGGAGCAAGGGCTGTGCTGGGTGGTGGCGGACGCATGCGGGCGGTGCCACTGGGACCTTCGGTGGAGCCCCCTTTGGGGCAACGAAGCCCTGTCCTGGGTGGGTGAAACGCAGAGAGCAAGGGCTGTGCTGGGTGGTGGCGGACGCATGCGGGCGGCGCCACTGGGACCTGCGGTGGAGCCCCCTTATGGGGCCACGAAACGCTGTGCTGGGTGGGTGAAACGAAGGGAGCAATGGCTGTACTGGGTGGTGGCGAACGCATGCGGGCGGTGCCACTGGGACCTTCGGTGGAGCCCCCTGTGGGGCCGCGAAACGCAGTACTGGGTGGGTGAAACGCAGGGAGCAAGGGCTGTGCTGGTTGGTGGCGGACGCATGCGGGCGGTGCCAGTGAGACCTTCGGTGGAACCCCCTGTGGGGCCATGAAGCGATGTACTGGGTGGGTGAAACGCGGGGGGCAAGGGCTGTGCTGGGTGGTGGCGGACGCATGCGGGCGGTGCCACTGGGACCTTCGGTGGAGCCCCCTATGGGGCCACGAAACGCTGTACTGAGTGGGTGAAACATAGGGAGCAAGGGACTGTGCTGGGTGGCGGCGGACGCATGCGGGCGGTGCCACTGGGACTTTCCGTGGAGCTCATTATGGGGCCACGAAGCGCTGTACTGGGTGGGTAAAACGCAGGGAGCAAGGGCTGTGCTGAGTGGTGGCGGACGCATGCGGGCGGTGCCACTGGGGACTTCGATGGAGCTCCCAGAGGGGCCACGAAGCGCTGTGCTGGGTGGGTGAAACGCATGGAAAAAGGAGGAAGGAGGGGAGGAGGGGGAGGAGGAGGAGAGGAGAAGAGGAACGCGGGGACCGACTCTTGAAAACGAGGACCCAACACCACAGGATGATTGGGAGAAAAAATCACTGCGTCGGGGGTCTGGGTCCAACGACCGTGCCAGGCCAGAGCCACCCTGAGCCCTTGCATGGTGTATATACCCTGCTGGTGTAGATACCCTGCTGGCCTTCGGCCAGTAGAGCGTACACACCATCCCAGGGCCCAGGATGGCTCGAGCCAGGCATGATGCTGGTGTAAAGATGCCACCTGCGCATCTGGGGCTGCTTCTCCTCCTCCTCCTCCTCCTTCTCCTCCTCCTCCCCTTCGTTCTCCCCCGCGGCCCCTCCTCCTTGTCCTCGTTGTCGTCGTCGTCGTCGTCGTCGTCGTCGTCCTCCTTCTCCTCCTCCTCCTCCTCCTCGGATCCTCCTCCTCGGATCCTCCTCCTCGGATCCTCCTCCTCGGATCCTCCTCCTCCTCCTCCTCCTCCTCCTCCTCCTCCTCCTCCTCCTCCTCCCCCCTCTACCTTCTGCTCCCGCTCTCCCTCCTCCCCCCCTCCTCCTGGGGGAGCAAGAAGGTACCGATACCCTTACTCCCCGGACCTCTCCCGAGGTGCGCTCCGACCAAAGCTGGAGGAGACTCCGGCCATGGCGACGAAGGCTCTCCAGGACGAGCCCCGGTACCAGCACTGGTATCTTGTCCTCCTCGGATCCTCCTCCCCCTCCCCATCCCCCACTTACTCCTCCTCCGCTTCCTCCTCCCCCTTCTCCTCCTCCTCTTCCTCCTCCACCTCGTCTTCCTCCTTCTCCTCCTCGTCCTCGTCCTGGTCCTCCTCCTCCTTCTCCCTCTCCTCCTCCTCCCCATCCTCCTCCGTCCTCCTTGTCCTCCTCCTCCACCTCCTCCTCCTCCTCCTCCTTGTCCTCCTCCTCCTCCTCCTCCTCCTCCTCGTCGTCCTCCTCCTCCTCCTCCTCCTCCTCCTCCTCCTCCGGCTCGTTCCTGCACGATGACCGTGTCCGCGGAGCACCCCTCCATCGTGACCATCTCCGTCAGGCGCGCCTGCAGCTGCTCCTGCCGGGGGCTGCTGCGGGCGCACGGCCCCCGCGGCGCCCCGCCCGAGGGGCTGCGGCAGGGATCGCCCCTCTGGCGGGGGAGGGCGAGGCCGCAGCGCCAGGAGGGAGGGAGACGGGAGGGGGGGAGGGGGGGAGGGAGGAGGAGGACCCTCAGATCTGGGTGTAGCAGCCACGCTCGCGACGGGCGGGTTGTTTTTTTCGGTCCCGCCGATTTGCGCCCAGCTGGGCACCTGGGGGCCATTCTGGGGCGCCGGGGCCACCCAAAACGGGTCTTGGAGGAACAGCTGCCCCAGGGGGAAGGGGTCGAGACCACTGGGGCCAGCAGATCGAACGAACACATTCCGTCTGGGGAGGCAGGATGGCAGGAGGAGGAGGAGGAGGAGGAGGAGGATGAGGAGGAGCAGGAGGAGGAGGAGGAGGAGGAGGAGGAGGAGGAGGAGGAGAAGGAGGAGGAGACGCAGGAGGACGAGGAGGAGGAGGAGGAGGAGGAGGAGGAGGAGAGGAGGAGGAGGAGGAGGAGGAGGATGAGGAGGATGAGAAGGAGGAGGAGGATCCGAGGAGGAGGAGGAGAGGAGGAGAAGGAGGAGGACGAGGAGGAGGAGGAGGAGGAGGAGGAGGAGAGGAGGAGAAGAGGACGAGGAGGAGGAGGAGGAGGAGGGAGGAGGAGAGGAGGAGGAGAAAGAGGAGGGGGAGGAGGAGGAGGAGGAGGAGGAGGAGGAGGGGAGGAGGAGGAGGAGGGGGAGGAGGAATAGGAGGAGGAGGAGGAGGAGGAGGAGGAGGAGGAGGAGGAGGAGGAGGAGGAGGAGGAGGAGGAGGAGGAGGAGGAGGAGGAGGAGGAGGAGAGGAGGAGGAGGAGGAGGAGGAGGAGGAGGAGGAGGAGCAGAAAGAGGAGGAGAAAGAGGAGCAGAAAGAGGATGATGATGATGCTGATGTGATGATGATGATGATGAAGATGATGATGATGATGATGATGATGAGGAGGAGGAGGAGGAGGAAGAGTAGGGGGAGAAAAAGGAGGAGGAGGATGAGCAGAAGGAGGAGGAGGATGAGGAGGAGGAAGAGGAGGAGGAGGAGGAGGAGGAGCAAGAGGAGGAGGAGAGGAGGAGGAGGAGGAGGAGAAGGAGGAGGAGGAGGAGGGGGAGGAGGAGGAGGAGGAGGAGGAGGCGGATTCGAAGGAAGGATTCTTAAATTAGACATCCAGGTGGCACAGAAGGGGCAATAACCACGGTGAGAGTCTAAAACCAACACCGTCATCGCTGGCCTCCGTATCAAAAAAGACTGTCAACGCTGCAAGGCTGGTGAAGGGGCCAACTACGAGTCGCGCTCTGGAGGAGGATGATGAGGGATGACGAAGAGGAGGAGGAGGAGGAGGAGGAGGAGGAGGAGGAGGAGGAGGAGGAGGAGGAGGAGGAGGAGGAGGAGGGAGGAGGAGGATGAGGAGGAGGAGGAGGAGAGGAGGAGGGGAAGAGGAGGAGGAGGAGGAGGAGGAGGAGGAGGAGGAGGAGGAGGAGGAGGGGGAGGGGGAGGAGGAGGAGGAGGAGGAGGAGGTGGAGGAGGAGGAGGAGGAGGATGAGGAGGAGGATCCGAGGAGGAGGAGGAGGAGGAGGAGGAAGAGGACGAGGACGAGGACGAGGAGGAGGAGGAGGAGGAGGAGGAGGAGGAGGAGGAGAAGGGGGAGGAAGAGGAGGAGGAGGAAGGAGGAGTACGTGGAAGAGATGCGAGAAGCTCTGAAACAAATGCCCGCGCAACTTCGCACTACAACGGCAAGCCTAGTCGCGCGCCGGCGACGTTGCGCATTCGCGGGAGTTTATGCCTGGATCGCGCGGAATTGAAGGAACGTGCATGTGTGAGACAATGTCGGACATGCCCTCAGCACGCACACGCACGCAGCAACTCGAACAATTACGCGGCGGCCCTGAGGGAACAAAACCCAGGCGGCGCGAAAGTGCAAGCCCTTCGCGCCTAGCAGCTAATAAGGTCTGTTTCCGTGCCCCGGACAGCTTCTGTCTCCGCCTGCGCTTTCGCTTGCGGACGCGACCAAAAAAGAAAGTGCAAGCCCGAAAGGTTGCTCCGCCACCGTGCCCCTTGGCGTGAACCTTTATCAGTGCACCTCTGCGTGTGCCACCGCCTCATCTCCTCGCTATACCACCTCCCCGCTTGTGCCCCTGCACATCTCCGCGCTGAAGGTGCGCGCCTAGTCGCGCTCCTGCGGCGTTGCGCTTTCGCGAGGGCCTGATGCAATCTGTATTGAGGGGGCACTACTGTGGGTGAAACAACGGTCTGCACGCGCAGGCGCAGCCCCCTCAACAAAAACTTGTGGGGCGTCCTGAGGCCGCAACGTGGAATTGCAAGCTTGCCGCCAATAGCGATACATATATGTAGAAGCCTTCGTTCAACATCCAGGCCAGCTGACTCCACCCGAGGGTCGTAACCTCGTGCTGGCTCTGCGTGGGAGGTCTGACAAGCAGAAACCCTGATGCCCCGATGACTGCCGAGCCAAGATTTGATATATCATGCACGCATGCGCGCGTGCACGTGCATCCATGAACATGCATCGCGCCTTTTTGCCTGCCCTTCCTCCCCCGCCTCCGCAAAGTGCTGTCGATGGCTCTTTTGCACCTGGGGGCGGCTGCAGGGCGACTGGCTTCCTCGTAAAGGACAAAGGTGGAACGGCAGCAGGACCGCTCTCTCGGGATTCCTCGAGCACTGCTCTGGCCTGGCACACCGCCAGATGTGGTGCACCCTTCGGGGTAACAAATGAGACGCCTGCTGCCGCCCCCCCCCCAACCCACGCTTCGATGGCGCAGGCGGAGGCCCATCTCAGTCCGCGTAGCGGAGACGAGTGAGGGGAAGGGAGGACCGATGAGGATGGGGAAGATGAGGAGGGACAGCGAGAGGGAGGGCAAGGGGGGCCGATGAGGGGCCAGACCCCTTTCAATCAGCCAGCCTGGCCCGCGCGGCGAGGCACGAGATGCCCGGGCGACGCGGACTGTCATGGGAGGCACAAGCAGTGCCAATTTCCGTGGTCCCGGACGGCCTGGATGTCGCCGGTGACCGCGGTGCTGAAGAGGCCCAGCTTGGTCAGATCCGCGAGGATTTGCACGGCCTGAATGTCGCCCAGAACCTGAGTGTCCCCAAAGCTCAGTACGGTCAAATTTGCGTGATTCTGCACGGCTTGAATGTCGCCAGATACCTGGGTGCCCTCCAAATCCAGCGCGGTCAAATTTACGAGATTCCGCACGCCCCAGATGTCACCCATGATCTTGGTGTTATGGAGCCCCAGGACGGTCAACTTGATGAAGGCCTCCATGGCCTGGGCGTCGCCTGGAGCCTGGATGTTGCTGAAGCGAAAAATGGTCAAATTCTCGACGTTCCGGACTGCCTGGATGTCGCCCGTGACCTTGGTGTTGTCGAGCCGCAGGTAAGTCAAATTGACGAGAGTCTCCACGGCCTGGGCGTCGCCCGAGACCTGGATATTCTGCAGCCACAGCGTGGTCAAGTTCATCAGGGACTGCGCAGCCATGATGTCGCCCCCAATCTTTGTGGCTCCGAGGCGCAGCTCGATCAAATCGACGAGGGTCCCCACGGCCTGGATGTCACCAGACAGCTGTTTGTTTTCACCCAGACCCAAACTAGTGAGCTGCAGGTCAATGGCCAGCATGGCCCAGTCTCCCAATGGTACCGATATGCTGTTTGCGAAACATTCAGCGACCACACATGACCGTGGTTCCGCATCAACTTCATGATGTCCACTTCTTCAGGATCGCCGAATCCCATGCTCGGCATGTCCAGCACAGTTGCATCGCCAATGACACTCAGGAACGTGTCGAAATATCGTGGGCTAGCGATATGGTCCCTGCCGGCCTTGTTTGTTTGTATGTATTTGTGTGTATGTATGTATGTATATATATACACAAGACTGCAGTGACGATTCGCGCCATGCACCTTGGTCCTTGAAGTTTGGTATGCAGGCGGAATGGCAGGAAAGTCAAGCCGACAATTTAGCGATAACTCCTGGTTGCCTTTTCTGGCATCGCCGCTATAATGATGTTATTCGTTATCCTTCCTCCATGCTTATTGTTCCTGATTTTCGCCATACCCTGCGCATTCTCTCCATCCTCCTCAGCTCTTTTTTGCGGAGGCTCCTCCTTGGAGAGCCTCTAGGGGCCTCACAAAAGTTGTGTCGGGCTTTCTTAAGGCCTTCTGGAGCCTCCTGGGCGTATTCTGGGGGCCTCCGGGGGCTTCCTCGGGCCACCCTGCCTCCAACCGCCGTCTCCCTGAACGACCGAATCACGATTTGGAATTCTTCGGACGGTGTCTTTGGGCCATCTTGGGTCGCCATGGGGCTCTTTGAGGGCCATCTTGGACCCGTGTTGTGCCGTTTTGGGACTCGCTTGGACTGCCTGGAAGCCCTTTCGGATGGTTGTGGGGCGATTTGGGAGCCTCCCAAGCGACTTCGGACGCCCAGAAGACCGCCGTCTTGGAGCGTCGGAAAGCCGAAAAAAGGAGAACCCCAAAATTCACCAAAAAACCATCAGAATATCCATGATTTTTGCCTCGTGGGGCCTTCTTGGGAGTGCTCCTGGAGGCCTCTTTGGGGACGTCCTGGAGGCCTCTTGGGCCATCTTGAGGTCACGTCGGTCACTCTTGGAGCGCTCTTGTGCTGTCTTGGGGGTCTCTCGGACGTCTCCGATGACCCCCCTGATCGCCCTAAGTGTGCTGGGAAAGCTTGGCAAAACGCCTTGCGAGGCCCGGTGGCCGCTTCGAGGCCCGTCCGGAGGGCCCCAAAGCCCCAGGTCCCGGGAGTCCGTTTTTTTTGGGGGGGGGGGCGGGTTTCCCCCCGCCCGGGCTTATAAAAATATCGGAAGAGGAATATGATCCCGGGCTCCGGGCCCACGGGCCCGCCCCCCCTCCCCCCCAGATGGTATGGTCCCAGGATTCCTCGGCCCCCCCCCCCCAGATGGTATGGTCCCAGAGACGACGACGACGACGACGACGACGACGGCGACGACTACGACGACGGCGACGACGACGACGACGACGACCACGACGACGACGACGGCTGCGGCGACGACGCCGGCGGCGGCGGCGGCGACGACGACGATGACGACGATGACGACGGCGACGACGACGATGACGACGACGACGACGACGACGAGGACGACGAGGACGAGGACGAGGACGACCTCCGAACCACCACAACACCACACCACATCCACAGGGGGGGGGAGGGGGGCACCGCAGCGCAGCACCACGCCACGCCCACCTCTGAACCACCACAGCACCACGCCGCATCCACAGGGGGGGGGAGGGGGGCACCGCAGCGCAGCACCACGCCACGCCCGCAGGGGGGGGCGGGGGGGAGCATCGCGCGGGGTGGGGGGGCCCAATGACATCAGCATTGGGGGGGGGCCCAAGCCCTGGACCATCTCTCTCTCTCTCTTTTTTTTTTTTTTTTTTTTTTGTTTTTTATATAGTACCGTTGAATGCCTCAGAAGTGATTGGTACTTCGCGACGCCGATCGTAATGATCGAAAGACAGTTGCACGTAATCATCGTCTGCTGTCTCCAATGATGTGCGCACCTGCTCGTCGCTCAGTACCATCTCGTGCGGACCCGAAATTATGCCTGCGATGCGTCTTTCGAAAACTGGCCAACCTCTTTCATCGTAGAGTGCACGCTCAGCGCCAGACGGAAGGCACGTCAACCTCCATGTGATCGTGTGTTTGTGCCTGTGCCAAATGTTTGTATGCTTCAGTGCCCAACAATGTCCTCGTCTGTGCGGGTTCCGTCGGGCTTACTCTGTGGGATACTCATCCAATCGATGAATACTCCTCCGGGCTGGCCATCACCACTGCCGATGGACCAGCCCTGCTTCATCAATGTCTGTGCACTGTAAGGCACACTGGCTGCCATATAATCAGACGATGTCGTGGCGAAGCGAAGCGACCCAACAACGATAGATGAATAGAAAGGAAAGATGCTCTTCAGATGATGTCAGTGTGGATCTGGATGGTCCTTGGATATCCAACAGGAGCTGATAGAAACGATCTCCGAACATGCCCATTCTAAGTCTCCATCCGCATTGAGGAGCCGCTCTTTAGGAACGTCTTGGCCCTTCGGCATTCGCATCCCATGTTTGTGCACGTGACGAGGTCCTGTGGCTTGATCAACTGACCGTCCTTGGAGCAAGAGATATCCAAACATCCCTGGTGCTGTACCTGGTGTTCACCGCGTGTGAAGATGGGTCGTCGGGCTCGCTGTCGACCGAAGCCGACTTTTTCAGACACACCCCTATGGCAGCGATAACCAATAACCCTGCGTATTGTTCGACACTGCAGCTTGAACCCGAACTTGAGCCCGAATGGTGACGGAGGAGCTTTACGTGGAAGAGAGGATGAGGAGGAAAAGGAGGAGGAGGAGGAGGAGGAGGAGGAGGAGGAGGAGGAGGAGGAGGAGGAGGAGGAGGAGGAGGAGGAGAGGAGGAGGATAATTAGGAGGAGGACGACGACCAAGAGGAGGATGAGGCGGAGGAGCTCGACTGCGCGGAAGCGGACGACGACAACCCTCCGCCTGCGCGTCCGCTGGGAAGCAGCAGCACATGCGGCGGCCGCCAGGCCCCGGTACAGGCATCGTGCTACCGTGCGTAGGTCTGAGGAGTGGCCCAAGTCCTGGGCCCCTCCCGAGCTCAAAATGTTTTCTGTCAGCGTCTTGGCCGTAATCATGAGAATCCAGTCTTGCCCGCCAGCGTTCCACGGCTGATCAGATGCGACAGGCGTCGCGGCGTCACGCCGCCCACAGGCATCTAGAACAGAGCTCAAGAACAGAGATCAATGACAGTCAGCTGGAGCAGACATTAATGACAGAGGACAGGGAGAGACACCAAGGACAGATATGAATAACAAATATGTCTGTCAGCGTTGGCCAGTCACGCACGCGACTTGTCAGCTATGTCGTGCACTGTGCGTGGTGAAAGCTGTGTGATGCAGTCTATGTGGTGCAAAGCGTGTGGCGCAAGACGTGGTGCAAGCGCCGCGGTCCAAGACGTGTGGTGCAGGCTATCTGGGCGGCGAACGGGCGGCGACGGGGCGGAAACGCCGAAGCCCAGCCGACGCACGAGGCGCCCGCGCGTCGCCCGACGGGCGGCGACCCAGCGAAGACCCCAGGGAACCCGGCCGACGCGCGGGTCGCCCGCCCACGGGGCACGCCCACCGGGCGGCGAGGGGGCGAACGCCCACGAGGCCTGGGCTGTAGCGCACGAGGCGCGCCCCCCCCACGAGGCGCCCACGGTCGGCCACCGGGCGTACACCTGGAAGCCCAGGCCAATGCACGAATCGCCCACGGTCTTGGTTGACCCAGAAGGGGGTCCAGCCGAAAGGGGGTGGCGCAATAGGTTTTGGGCAATTGCATTGCAGATGTATTGCGCCAGAGATGTGCGTTGCATTGTACTGCAAATAACGTATTGCGCGTGGAAGCTCCGCAATACATTTGCGCACTGGAATGTATTGCACGCCCCAAATCTATTGCAACCACGCAAACCTATTGCACCACCACCTTGTCGCTGGACCTCCTTTCGGGTCAACCAGAACGGTGCGCCCACGGGCGGCAATCGGAGGAATACTCGAAAGCACACGCCAACCCTCAACCCTTTGGAGAAACGCAGTGCCATTCGTGCAAACACGGTTTGAAGAATCGAGGGCATACAGTAACAGCGTACGTCAATGACGCACACACGCATACCAGCACAGACAACACAAGGTTCACCGATAGCATACACCAGCGGCAAGCCAGTATTAGACATCAGGAACGCACATCAACACATGGCACCAGACAAGCACATATCAATGACACATACCAGTGAAATTACATAAACACCATACACCTAGAGCCAACACTAGGCAATACCATCTGACAATAACGTACAGCAGCGACAGAGAGCCAAAACATACTCCACTAACATACACAGCAGGGGCATGCATCGAAACTACAAATCATCAACATAAGCCAACAGCGTACACTAATTACATACATCGACAATGCACTCCAAGACCATACACCATTAGCATGCGTCACGAACCCACAGTTCGATCAGGCATCAATAGCGTGCAGACTTAACATGCATCAGACTTGGCATCAAGACCACAGATCAAGGACCTCGATAGGGAAACAATCCACACATCAATCGTACACGTCAAGAGCATACGCAAACATTTTAACGAGCGGACATACATTGCATTCGTAAGTTCACCCGTTTTCGAGCACAAGCGCCCATCCTGAAGAGGTGCCGACGCGGGACAGAACCCCAGGCCCCAATTTCAAAGTTCGGGGCCCTCGATCTGTGCGAGTGCATACAGCTTCGACAGAGTGCCCACTTTTGTGGGCCGCGGCCTGCGTGTGAATGTGAACAGAGAAATCGGGCGCGCGGGGGGTAACGTCCTTCTGGCTCTTTGATTTATTGGTTGGGCTTTACTTCTAAAAGGCAAAGACTGTAGTGGCAGACACGAATACCACATGCAACGGACGTGGACAACGCGACATGAAACAACATGCGTACATACCAAGCCTGCAGGACATGCGTAACAACGAGTCGCAAATCATAGTGTAACACTGCGCGCTGTAGATTCATGCGCGACAGACGACGAAACCATTCGCAGCACCTCCCTGGTGGGGATCGTCCGAAGTATCATAATATTTATGTGTTTTGTTGCTCTGGCTTTCAACGACCGAAGCGCGATGAAAACGAACATCAACTCCGACCACCTCGGTCACACCAGACTGCAGTCTTGCACACTGGAGAATATTTCTCACATTCCCGCTTCGCGTCCAAAACACGCTTCAGCTTTTGCAGTCGCGACCGGGGAGCTCGCGGCTCTGATGATCTTGACGACGGTGATGGTCGTGATGGGTCAGATGGTGGTGACCTGAAGATGCGAAGATGACTGCGATGCTGGTGACTAGACTGTCGGAATGACCCTCCAAGGTGAAGTCTATTCGCCACGTGGGTGAACGGTGCAGCATGGGATGACGATGATGCTGGTGGGTTCAACCCGGGGCTGGGTCAGGGTCCGAGCCCGCGTCCAGGTCCGGATCGGGGGCCAGGGCTGGCTCCGGGCGGCTGGGAAAGCTGGAAGCGAAACAGTGCCCCCCTACGAGCGAGTATAATGCTTCCACACCTGTTCTAAGGAGGAGGAGGAGGAGGAGGAGGAGGAGGAGGAGGAGGAGGAGGAGGAGGAGGAGGAGGAGGAGGAGGCGTAACACCTCCTGCATCCACACCCGTTCAACCTCTGCCCGTAACATGTCTATAGGCATAGTATATGTTTTGGTTCGCTCACGAATCGGCGCTTTCCTTCGCAGCTTCTAGCATACAAGCCCAAACTTGGTCTTCCTCGGCCTGGCTGGCTCGCCCATATTCCCAGTGCGTTTCGCCGACGGAGGACAGGAGAGTCCAGTACACGTACCCCGGAAAAAGCCCTGGGCTGAAGGGCAGCGAGAGTGGAGGCTCTGGCTCCCCGCAGGGGGATGACATCGACCTGGACTCGGCGACGCATCGTGGAGAGATCCGCACTATAGGCCCCGACAGCGAAGCTCCGCGTTCCTGGGCTTAGGGGCAACGAGGGTGGGGACCTGGCTCACCGTAGGGGGATAACATCGACCTGGACTCGGCGACACATCGCGGAGAGATCCGCACTAGGCCCCCAGCATTCCGTTGGCGTGGAATGGGCGACTGAAGGTCGATGCATCCCCCCCTGAGCCTATCCTCCCAAGCGTGTCTTCGTCGCCTGGCTCGCGGGTCTCCGGCGGCCGTCGGGTACCATCCGGGCACCCTCGGACGCCTCTCGGCTAGGCGCAGCTGCTGGTACGCATTCCGAGGCTGGAAAGTGCCGAGGACCCACAAAAGCATCCCCCCTCGAGCCTACTTATACCCCCACCTGACGTTACCCCTGGAAGACGCCCTGGGGCCCAAGACGAAGCACGGCGGCGACCCGATGTCGATGATGATGATGATGATGATGGATGCACCTTTCTTGCTGAAGCTCCGGGGCTTCGGGACACGGGTATGTTTGGCCCCCTGGGACTCTGCAAACCCAGGAGTGGCCTCGCGTGCTAAGCGCTCTGGGCCAAGATGCTTACGGAAATGCTACTATACATGCGTGAAAATAAATTGCACGAAGTGTCGCAACACCCCTCTGGGTCTCTGCCATGCAGGACAATGTCACGAAATCGTCGTAACGCTTCCTCTCTGCTGCTACGCAGTGAAAGAGAATGTTAAAGAGAATCTGCCGCCGTCCTACCCCAACCAACCTCCTATGATCGGACAAAAATCCTTTGGATTCTCACCGTAATCAGCGTTGAAGGACCGAAGCTTTGTCACAAGGTGGACATCACCCAGTCGCCACGAGAGCCGAATTGTAAAGTTGACGCTGCTCTCCCATTTCTTGTTCAGGAGATGCAGCTCGCGATTCAATTGCGCATTGGCCCATTGGTGGAAAAATGGAAGCACAAGGAAGACTACTCTCCCCTGGGGCCCATCCTCCCTGGGCACACGAAGGAGTTGAGAAGGCCGCTGCTGAATAGCATTCCGTATGGCATCGATGATGCGAGACGAAGTTCCACTCCGCCTAAGTTTGCTAATGAAAATGTTTGCTTGCTGTCTGGCGAGGAGGGGGGAGCTGCATAGCCTACCGTACCGCAACGCCATAGCCACAGGCCACGCGCGGTGCACTGAGGGAGGGTGGTGAGATAGCTCTGAAAGAGGAACCCATTGGCTCGTCACCTTCTCGTGCACACTGTGGCAAAAGCTGGTTGTGTTATCAGTCCTGGATTTCTTGAAAAGGTGCATGTCTACAACGCGAAGGCGTCCGCGACGGTCTCGCCCGCCGAGGCCCCGCTCAGGAGCCGTCCGCCTGGCAGGGCCGCGTCGGCGCGGCCGAGCCCGGGGCCCAGCCTGCCCGCGCCCAGCTCGCCCGCCAGCCAGTCGCGCACGCCGGCGAGAGGCGCGCCGGGCGCCGCCCGCACCCAGCAGCGCTCCACCCCGCCCAGGGTCAGGAAGCGCACCTCGCCAGGAAGGGAACGGATCCTCCAGCTTTCCGCTGTGACTTTCGCCTCCCCAGGCCCCCCGCACGCCCCAGGGCTGTCAGAAAACGGCTCAGGATGAAAGTCTGCTCCAACGGGGGACGGCCTGGGCCCCGGGGTCCAGGGCCAGTTCCCCTCGGGACCCGTTCCCTTCATGCCAAGCACCGCGCCACCGTCGAACGACGCCTGCAGGAGCAGCGTCGCGCCGACGAGCAGGCGCGCGGTGTACGTCAGGCCACCGTCCAGCGCCGGCACGTTGCACTGGCCGGCGAGATTCAAGCCTAAAGCCACGGCCGTGCCGTCGCTCCTGAGCAGCGCCGTGTGAACGCCTCCCGCGGCGACCTGCGTGTAGCTCAGGCCACCGTCCAGCGCCGGCACGTTGCACTGGCCGAGGTCATTCCTGCCGAAGGCCACGGCCGTGCCGTCGCTCCTGAGCAGCGCCGTGTGGGCACTTCCCGCGGCGACCTGCGTGTAGCTCAGGCCACCGTCCAGCGCCGGCACGTTGCACTGGCCGAGGTCATTCCTGCCGAAGGCCACGGCCGTGCCGTCGCTCCTGAGCAGCGCCGTGTGGGCACTTCCCGCGGCGACCTGCGTGTAGCTCAGGCCACCGTCCAGCGCCGGCACGTTGCAGATTCCAGGCCCAGCACTGCCGCTGTCATTGCGCCAGGCGGCCGTGCCGTCGCTCCTGAGCAGCGCCGTGTGGGCCTCCCGCGGCGACCTGCGTGTAGCTCAGGCCACCGTCCAGCGCCGGCACGTTGCACTGGCCGCTGTGATCGCCGAAGGCCACGGCCGTGCCGTCGCTCCTGAGCAGCGCCGTGTGGGCACTTCCCGCGGCGACCTGCGTGTAGCTCAGGCCACCGTCCAGCGCCGGCACGTTGCACTGGCCGCTGTGATTCGCGCCGAAGGCCACGGCCGTGCCGTCGCTCCTGAGCAGCGCCGTGTGGGCACTTCCCGCGGCGACCTGCGTGTAGCTCAGGCCACCGTCCAGCGCCGGCACGTTGCACTGGCCGTTGTGATTCTCGCCGAAGGCCACGGCCGTGCCGTCGCTCCTGAGCAGCGCCGTGTGGCCGCCTCCCGCGGCGACCATTCGTGGGCGCGGTGGGGAAGCCCGGGGGGCCCGCGGAGGGGGGCGCGCGCGGGCTCCTGGGAGCGCTCGGGGCTCCCGGGGGGGCCGCGGCTCGAGCCGGAGCGACAGGCGGGCAGAGGGGCGGCCCACGGGGCCCCCGCTCCGGGAGGCCTGGAGGCACCTCCAGCTGCGCGTGCCCACGCCCGGCGGTGCGCGAGGTGCGGCTCTCGCCGCCCCCCGCCGAGCGGCCGTGAGGAAGCCGCACAAGCATGCGGAGGCAAAACCACGTACCCTCTGCCCCACAGCTGCGGCGCGGCAGGCGCACACAGCGACTTCAATGAAGTACGCGAGCGACTACGCAGTAGCGGTCACGAGAATTTCGTTAGTGACATCCTGATAGCCATCATGAGCGAAACCCGCATTTCGAATGTAGAAGTACTGCCACAACATGCCCGCGAAGCGCATCCACCCAAGGGCATACTCCGAGGAAGTGTGCACATCCGAAAAAGGCTTGCGGCGCTTTGGCAAAGCGAAGTATTCCGCCTTCTGTTCAGTAGTGAGGACCCCTTCGAACAGTAGTTCGTCCAGTTCGACAATGAATGTTGCTGCCAATGTGTTTAGAACGATGTCCATCGGTGACTTCGACAATGCAAACAACCTTCCAATTTCCATGATGGCAGTTGATGGAAGCAAAACGGCCTGCAAAAACCAAAACATAGTCATACAAACCCGCAGCCAACCTGGGGCGCCTGGGTCAGGAAGAGACGCTCGTGCCTGATTGTGTATATCGCCGTTGACTAGAATGCAAACAACGGCACAACTAAGCAACCCCATGATAGATCGGCAGATGGAATCACCGCCAATCAATAACTTGCCGTTCTCGCGATAGCAGCCTGTCTTAAAAGAGTATGGCTCGTGCGGATTGCCAGCGGTATAGAAGTCCATCAAATTGTTTTTATTCATCTGGAGCAGTGTCATGAGCAAGCCGTTCTGCATATCAGTCACCAGTAGCATGTACAACCACGCCTTCTCTGCATGCGGTCTCGCGCTGAACGTCAACGACTCCACGCAATAATTGTACAAGCTGGCCGGGAGCTCTTCTGGCTCCCCGCAGCTCTCTGGAGAGCTTCTGGCCTGAAGGAGCTCTTCTGGCTCCCTTCCTGGGTGCGGAGCGTGCCCGGACGTTGCGAGCAACGGCTTGTAGCCGTTCAGGGATGGGGCGTCCTCCTGGGCTGCGCTCGCCTGCTTCTCTTCGCCCACGGCGCCGAGCCACTCCCGCGCCGACCCGCGCCGGCTGCTCAGCTCCTCGCTCAGCCGCGCCTCCATCTCCTCCCTCATGGCGTGGAGCTTCGCCTGCACCTCCTGCCTCATGGCGCCGAGCCCCTCGTCCACCATCAGCCTGAGACGAAGCCGAGTCGAAGAGAAAAACATCGGGTGAGGATCAACGTCGATGCCTCGGGCGCCGCGGCCCTCTCATAGTGTTCCGGAACGCTCCGAGAGCGTTCCGGAACGCTCTGGAACGGATGAACCCTCGTCTTAGCCTTAGGTCGGGCGTGTTCCCCTACATGCGGATTTTCGACGAAAAATTAAAACTAGTCAAAAATAGCCCAGAATGATCAAAGATCGTCGAAAAATCATCGCCATAATATTTTTTGACTATTTTTGAATATTCCTCCTGTAGAGGGACACGCCCGACTCAATCCTAGCCCCGTCCGACAGCCTCACCATCCGCTGCTCCTTCGCCCCTTCGTGCACCGCGTCGGTCGCCGCGGGCGCCTGGCCATGCGGCGGGAGCGGTGCCCGCGGCTCCTCCGGCGTTGGACGATGTGTCGCGCCGCCGCGGTGGGCGCTCCACGGGGAGGACTCGACACCGAGGTGCTGCTCCAACTTCAGCATCCTCGTCGGGGGTTGCTGATGGTGCCCCTGGCCCAGGGTGCCCGCAACTTTTCGCTTCATCTTGGAGCTCCTGGGGCCGCCTGGGCCTCGTAATGGGGTGCTCTGGAGGCCGTGGGGGCCTCTTTGGACATCCTGGGGGCACCGTGGGCCAGGGGCACTTCTAGCAACACCCGACCTTGCACTGAGGCGTACCTCCAGCGCGTCCAGCTGGCTTCGCCACTCCACGGCTGCTCTCAACACGTCTTGTTCGGCCGACGACATGCTGCCGCGTGCGCGCAGATCGGCGGATACACGCGCTAAACTCGCTCTGCGCACGTCAGGTATCCTTGAACATTGATGGTCACGCTATCATTTGAACCTTTTGGGTTCGTTCTTGTCTGCTGAAGTCCGTGAAGGCTTCTGCTGAACGGGCTGAGGTAACCAACTTTAACATTTTCACCCACATCTGGAGCCCTATGGTGGGGGCCTGATGGCGGGGGAGACTCCGTAGAGTCCTCCTAGACCGGGTCCGAGTAGATGGGGTCGGAGGGCCGCGCCGCATCGCCGACGTGTTGATGTATCGGCGCCATCGGCGTGCAGAGCTTCTGGCTCCACGTCGAGCTGCATCGCCAGTGCATCGGCGACGCGGAGCGATCAGTCGGACTGGAAAGGAGGCCTGGAACTCTGGCGGGCGGGAGGGGGGGCCAAGGTCGGGCGCTGGCCAAGCTGGGTTTAGTGGGACCTGGTTTAGTGATGTGTGCTGGGGGACTCCCCCCCCGCCCCGTTGCACTAACCGGAACTACCGTCACCCGAACAAGCACCAGCCACGGCAGACCTGGTTTAGTGGTTCAATCTAATTTAGGGGCTCCGGGGCCCTACCACTAACCGGGTCCCCTTACCTGGGGTCCTGGCTATACCCGACAGGGGTCGGGGGTCGGTCGGCCAGGCGCATGTGGTTGGAAACGGGGGGCCGGACGACGAGGGGCGGGGGCCCCCCCGCCGCTTTCCAAACCCATTCCACGCCGGCCCTGTCCGCCTCACGCTCCCCTTCCCCAGCTCGCGTCCTCTAATCTACGGAGGGAGGGAGGGAGGGATCCCCCTCTCCCTGTCGCTCTTTCCCCCCCCCTCTCTCGCCCTTGCCATGCCCGGCCGCCCCCCTGGCTCTTCCGTTCGCTGCGCCTCTCCCTTTTCACGCCCCTGCCCTTTTTCCATCCCTCCCCTTCCTCGCTCCCTCCCCATGCTCACTCTCCTGCCTTCCGAAACCAGCCAATCCGAATGACACTCTCCTGCTCTCCTGGCAACGTGCAGCGGGGCTTCCGCCTCTTTCGCGTACTGGTATCGCACAGACAAGATTAAACACATCTGGGCGATTTCGGAAACCCTGAACCAAAAGACGTTTCTATCTCTTGGGGACACATCTTTTACTTCCGCCGCCTTCCGCCGGCGGAGGCGGCCTCTTTTTACTTCCGCCGCCTTCCGCCGAGGAAGAGATGACAACTCCTTCTATCCTCGAAGGCGAGGCCCTTTCTAGGAACGCTCCGAATGTGTATTTTCGATCCGGACGTCTTCCGTTCTTCGAAATTCGGCTTCCGCTGCAGCGTTGGCCGCATATCAGGAGCGGTGTCGTGCTTCCGTCGTTCTGAACGGCGCCGTCGCCTCTGCGCGGCCACACCTCTGGACACGACTCCTTCCTCCTCGTTGTCGGCCTCCTCCTGTCCCCTCCTCTGCCTTCCCGTGCTCCTCCTGTTCCTCTTCCCACCCTCTCGTCGTCCTCCTTCTCCTCCTCCTCCTCCTCCTTCTCCTCCTCCTCCTCCTCCTCTCCTCCTCCCCCAAATTCGCCGGCCCAACGGGCCAGGGCGTGCTAAGATCTCCGGTACCTGGTTAACAATATTTCTAGTTCGCGCGCGCGGGGCGGCCCCTGGGGGTCCCCGGACGAAAAGTACCCCGGCAAGGTCCCGGCAAGGTCGGGCCAGAGATGCCGGAGCCCTGTTACAGGGCCCCAGGACGGGCCAAGAGGTCCCCAAGAAGCCTCCAAGACGGTCCAAGAGGGCCCCGAGACGGCCAAAGATCGCCCGAAGACGCCCAACAGGGCCCCAAGACAGCCCAAGAGGCCTCCAAGACGCCCCAAGGGCCTTCCAAGAGGCCTCCGAAGAGGGCCCCAAGAGGCCAAAATCGTTGATTTTCATTATTTTTTTCGATGTTTTTTGCGTTCTGGCTTTTTCGGCTTCCGGACGCTCCAAGACGGCCCAAGAGGCCCCCAAGACCGCTCCAAGACCGCTCCAAAACGGCCCACGAGGCTCCCAAGACGGCCCCGGAACGGCCCAGGAGGGCCCCCAAGACGGCCCAGGTGCCGCCCAAGACGGACCAAGAGGCCCCAAGACGGGCCCAAGAGGGGCTCAAGAGGGGAACCGAGAACTGAAAAATCGAGCCCTCCGCCCCGGAAGGCGCCCAGGAGGCCCCACAAAGGCCCCAAGAGGCCCCCAAGAGGCCCCCAAGACGCCCCAAGAGGCGCCCAAGAGGCCCAAAAGAGGCCCCAAGAGGCCCCAAAACGGACCCCAAGAGGCCCCCAAACTCGGCTAGCCCACAACGGTGCGACAATATGGGCCGGCGGAATGAGCGAAGCGATTAAATATTGAGAGAGGTCTTGCTGGAGACCCTGGTCGTCTTCGTTGTCGTCCTCCTCATATCCCCTCCTCTGCCTTCCCATGCTCCTCCTGTTCCTCCTCCCGCTCCCTCGTCCCCCTCCTCCCTACGCCCTTCAACGTGCAGAAAGGTCTTGCTGGACACCCTGGTCGGCGGACAGAACTGGAGTCAGCGCTACGGAACAAGCGGGTGTGGGGTGGGGTGGCATGACAAGTATGGCGCGATCGCACTCACCTTGCCCCATCCGCTTTCCTACGCCACCGCTCATAGCTTAGAACATTTTACGCTAAGAGAACGGACTTCACTCCGAGCGTTCTCTTAAACAGCAATCCAGGTAGATTTGATACCTTTGTGCGAACAAGGACGCTCCAACTCCAAGAAGACGCCCAAGGTCCATTCCAGATTCTCGATCTAGAACGATATCGGGAACCCATGAAGTGTGACGCTTTTTCCTAATACTTCTGATGGGTCAACGTCCCCGTCTACCACCATTGGGGATCCCAAAACCGTGTGGTGACAAACCGTGCGGTGACCTCGGAACCCCAAGAGACCTCACCGCACGGTCTGTCACCGCACGGTCTCGGGACCCTGGAGGCCCCAGTCGCCCGAGACATTCTCGGAGAACGACCCAAGTCCCAAAACCGTGCGGTGACCCCGAATCCCCACTGACTCACCACACGGTGTGGTCACCACCCTGCTTGAGGGCCCCCGACACCCACTCATTACATGCTGCACGGCCCAGACAGCTCGCACGGGTGGCCTCGACGCTGCTGGCCTCGTGGGAGCCCGCGGGAATCCCACGCAAACACGGGCTGTCAGATCGGCCGGGGTCGCAGCGCTTGTTCGGGCCGACACTGGAACACCGCACATCACGGGTACGATCGAGCAGATGATCGCACACTAACCTTCTTGCAGCAGCTGAGTGGCTCAAGCTGTTCAGCACAAGCGGAACCAAGCTTGCGCCCACATCCCCGCGCATGCGCCAAAATTCTTGTCGCACGCGCGGGGCCAGGGGCAACTGCGCTTGACCTCTCTCTATTGAGGAGTCTGTTCTCGCCCCTGCAGGCTTCCCCTGGCGGGGCTGCCTTGCTGCCCCGCCACCCCCGGACCCCCGACGCCCTGAGACATCGTGACGAAAGTTATTCCTGAATTATTGCTCCATATGACTTTGCGTTGCTTTGCAGTGCTTTGCTTTTGCATCGCATTACATCGCTTTGCGTTACTTTGCATCGCTTTGCATTGCTGTTCATTGCGTGGCAGTGGTTATCATCGCATTGCTGTGCATTGCATCGATTGCACCACATGGATTGTACCTCCTAGATTGCACCACGTGGATTGCACCACCTAGACTGCACCACATTGTTTGCACCACCAAGGTTGCATCGCAGAGAGTGCAAAGAAATCACTGTCTGGGGTCCAGGCTGGATGTGTTTCAGGGCAGAGGGGAGGACGCGAGCCATCCACGAGCACCGCAGTGCTGCTGTTACTGCTGCGCCATGCTGTCACCTCATGTGCCAGACTCGCTGGGCCCCTCCCCGCCTCGCACGCCCGGAGTGGGAATGGACCAACACCTGGAAGATGCCCGCCTGCGAGTGCTGTCCCAAAACCGACAGCGGCCGCTGTTGGGCCGGCAACGTCTACCAGCGAATCCCCTGCTCACGATGGGCCAAGTGCTGCCGGCCTTCGCCCCCATCCTTTCTGTCCCCACCCTGGCCTTCCCGGCCCGTGCCTCGGCGCACCCTTGACGGGGACTCCACTGGCGGGCGCTCTGACCAGCGACCCGGCGATCCCAGTCTTCCCCGATGCGGGCAGCGCTGCAGCGGCAGCAGTTAGAGGCCTCCCAGGTGGGATCAGAGTGGATGGGGTCGGAGAATCGCGCGCCGCGTTGCCGATGCATCACTGATGCATCGGGTACGTCGGCGATGCATCGGCGACGTCGGCGCGAAGAAAGCCGGCCCCACATTGAGCCGCATCGCCAATGCATGCATCGGCGATGCGGCGCGATTTTTCGACCCCCTCTGCTCGGACTCCATCCGGGAAGCCGAGGTGGCAGCAAGAGGCCCTCAAGTGGCAGCTTCTGCCTGGCTTCCAGAGCGTGCTCGGTGGTGAAAATCCCCACTGCGGCGCCGCCGAGCGTCATCCCCAGACGTCCGACGATGCATCTCTTTCTCAGTGTGCGGCCCCGAAAAGGTCTCTCGACCCCTTCCTTGGGGTCCTACTCCTCCTCCCCCCCCTCCTCCTCCTCCGCCTCCTCCTCCGCCTCCTCCTCCTCCTCCTTCCGCTCGGCAAACATAGGCGACGAGGCTGTTGCGTTCTTCCTCCTCCTCCTCCTCCTCTTCCTCCTCCTCCTCCTCTTCCTCCTCCTCCTCCTCCTCCTCCTCCTTCCGTTCGGCAAACATAGGAGACGAGGCTGTTGCGTTCTTCCTCCTCCTCCTCCTCCTCCTCCTCCTCCTCCTTCCGTTCCTCCTCTTCCTCTGTCCCACCCTCGGGCTTCTCGCCGCAGACCTGCTTCTGCTGGCCCTGGGGCCCGACGGTGGCCACCCCAGGGGCCGAACATCAAAGAAAAACGCCCGGACCCAAAACAAGAAGCCACATCGTCGGAGATGTGGTGTTTTTTTAATTCATTGTTTGGCTGATCG